ACATATTGGCTCCCACAGAGGGTCAAAATTGATATTGGGTATGAGAAGGTTGTGGCATGCTGAGTAGGAAAAGGTAGGGATAGGTAGAGAGGCCTTATTTTTCTAAATAAGGCTAGATTGGAATTATTAAATTAATTATTAATTATTAAAGGTTAGACTGGAGAAATTTGTTGTTTGGTTGGGGGTGAGTGGACAGATGTGGGAAGAATGAAAACACGAAGCTCATATTAGCCTCCTATGGCTAATGCTACATTTGGGCATGAAGTGGTTAAATATCTCCCATTTTTCCATAGGGGGATGACTGAAGATTGAATATGGATAAATTCTGGTGATGGAAATGCTGTAATTTTCTCAGGTAAATTGTGAAGTTGAATGCAATTAGAAAAACATCCCCAAAATAGCTTTGGTTTGGTTGGCATATGACCAAACCCTGAACAGCTTAGATTAGTATAAAAGAGATTCAAATATATGTCTTTCGCATATGCTTAGGAAACTGAGCTGAAAGGAGAGGGAAGCAGCACATGCCATCTGTTTAGGAGCTATGTAAGCTTCAGAGCCTGAAATGGTGAAAGCAGAAAAGGGGCTTTAGTCTCTTAAGACCAGTAGGCAGTGAGAAAGGCATAGGCTCAGAGAAGCAGAAACAAGGTCAGAACCCAGGACAGAATCTGAGGCCCATAAAGCCAGCAGGAGCACCATGCCTTCTGCTGTGTACCATACCAAGTGCTTGCCACCAAAATAGCTCCACATACATCTTCTCTAAGAAACCTCCCTACGTATCTCAGCAGTAATGAGCTATTCCATTAGTGGTAAGGTCATCCATAGGATTCACTGGCTCTCGCCCAGAGCTTACCTGTTAGGGATGAAAGGGGAGGTTTTGATGACATTGAGCCAAAGGACCTCAAGTAGTAGAAACCTACTGTGGGTCAGTTACCTTTCTCCCCTATGAGGTTCACCAGCACACAGTACATTCAAGAGCCATCGACAGATGAGAAGTCAAAATACTACTTTATTTTCACCTGAATAGATGCTGAATTTCTTAGTGCAGAGTTCTCTTGTGAAAACAAAGTCAGAGCAAGCAGCTGACAGTAAAGGCCTGCCCAAGCCTCTCCTTCCCCACTACACACCAAAATCTTCTCACACTCTGTCCTGCCATATTGGATCAGAAATGGAAGCAATATAAAGTATGCTCAGCTATGCAACTGAAGAAGAGAAAACAAGATGGCCAGATCCCCAAGAGCAGGCCTTGGTTTAGCATACCTATTCCTGCTGCAGGAAGTCGAAGAAAAAGCTGCATGGAGGTTCCTAGCCCTGCCCTTGTTCAATATGGCCCAATTAATTTCCTGGAATCTGACCAATCTAATGAACAAGTCCTCCCTGGGAGAAGACAAAGGTCAGGAGAGAAGGGGAGAGATGAAAGTGCTCTTTTCTCTAAATACTTGCTCCTCAAAATGTGGGCTCTGGACCAGCGGTATCAGCATCATCTAGCTTGTTAGAAATGCACAATCTTGGGCCTCGCCCTAGCTGAACGGAATGTGGGAATCGCATTTTAATAAAATCTCCAAGGGATTCACATGCACATTAAAGCTTGAGAAGTATTGAGTTTCCGAATCCTAAACCCATGCCCAGATTGTCATCCTGATCTTTGCTTGCTTCCAAAAGTATTGCTCCGCATATGGTCAAGAGTTAATGAAAGGATGTTTGAGAAATTCTCTTTGGCACCTGTTTAATTCCATGTGAAGGGAGAAGCTCATTTCTGAGAAACCAGCACACGTTCACCAGTGAGTGGCTTAGAGACAGAAGCACACTGAAGACAAGCAAACAAAACAGTTGTAGACACACACACAGCTCTGCAGAGTAGGACAGATGGGCATAGTAAATTTCCTGTCACTCCATCCCTCCACCCATAATATTTTCTCCCTTCCTCACTCATGCTCTCCGTCATCCAAGCTACTAAGAAGCTTTTGTGTTGGGCTCTCACACACAGTATAGAACCACATGCATCACATGTCTCTTGCAGCCCAGTCCTCAAACCCAAAATCTGAGAATGAGATACTGCACCACTAAGCCAGGATATGGTAGGATAACAAAAAGCAATTTGGCACAGCAGTTATTTGTCACCTTTAAATAGTTGTGACTGTCACGACCCAACGCATACCTTAGTTCCAACAGTACCAAAATCCCAAGCCTGGATCTTTGTCCAACATTTGCCTGAGTAGGAAGAGCACTCAACCCCCAATTTCCTCTCTTTGCTCTACCTGATATAATACCTTATAGTAAAAAGCGCCACAGGCTGACAAACATTTATGGATTAACAAGTCTGTCATCATATTATTAGGGGATCCAATAATGACAGGATTTAATGAATAATGATTAAATTAGCATCTGCTGAGCACTTACAATGTACTTGACCACAACCTTATAACAAGTGAGGGAATTTGAAGTTTTCAGAAATTGAATAACTTACCGAGGAAGCAGCAAAGATAAAAAACCCCGCGTACATCTTAAGTACAAAGACTCTCAACCACTACAATAATATAATGTTTCAGTTGTCAAAAAACACTGCGAACTCCCTGTGTGGGTAAAGAATCATTTTCCTTCTCTGGGGCTAATGTAAGGATTAAATGGGATTAAAGATGTTACCGCACCTAGGAAAGTAAGATACTGTAACATATAAGGTATAATTTAGTATGTTAAGATCATGTCCAAATAAAAGCCCTTGGTACTATACAAATGGCAACTATACATGTAAAAAATGTTCACGCTTGTAACTAAAGTTACCCCAGGTCGTTCAATGTACAGTTCTCATTCATCAAATTAGAAAATACTTTTTAAAGTTTAGCCCTCAAAAAAAAAAATAATGTTTAACCCTCAGTGTTGGCAATGATGTTGTGAAACTACTGTCTTGCTGGTGGGAGCTTGAGACATTTTATTTTATTTTATTTTTAATATTTTATTTATTCATGAGAGACACAAAGAGAGAGGCTGAGACACAGGCAGAGGGAGAAGCAGGCTCCATGCAGGGAGCCCAACATGGGACTCGATCCCAGGTCTCCAGGATCACAACCTGAGCTGAAAGTGGCGCTAAACCACTGAGCCACTCAGGCGCCCCGGCTTGAGACATTTTAAAAAATTGACATAATTTCTTGTAAGGAAAAATAAATTAGGACAAAATTTTAAGTATAAAAATAGTTGAGAGCATAGATTCTGAAGCCAGATTGCTTGGATTTAAATCCCACCTCCACTACTTACTGGCAGTGTGACCTTGGGAAAGTCTCTGTCTCCTGGTGTCCAAAATGGGGGTAATAATAGTGCCTATTTCACTGGGTTGTTATGAGAATTAAATGAATCATTATATGTAAAGTACTTAACCCAGTGCCCGGCACCAAGATAGCACTATATATAAGTGGTATCTATTATTTTTATTATCTTTGCATTATTTATAATAACAAACAGTTGGAGTCAATCTATCTGACCATAGAAAAACAGCTAAGAATACCATGATACGCACATAAAATGAATATTACAAAGTCATTAAAAACGAGGCTTTAAAAGACTATTTAATCACATAGAAAGTAAAAAGCAGGAAACTGTATATATCACCCCATACCACTCATGTTTGTTAAAAAAAAAAACACTGTACAAATAAGGCTGTGGAGAAAACAAGGGGTGGGAATTACAGCAAAATAGCGGCAAAGAATATATCTGGGTGATGGGGTAGGATTGGGGGTTTCTCCCCTTGGTTTCTGGACTTTGCAAACCTAGGGCAATGCTTCTAACCCTCTAACATCTTTGCCCCTTTTTAAATTTTATTTTTATTTTTTTATTGGAGTTCAACTTGCCAACATATAGCATATCACCCAGTGCTCATCCCGTCAAGTGCCCCCCTCAGTGCCGGTCACCCAGTCACCCCATTCCCCACCCCCATCCCCGCCCTTTCCACCACCCCTTGGTCGTTTCCCAGAGTTAGGTGTCTCTCAGGTATCTTTGCCCCTTGACCTCAGCCAGTTCCCAGCAGCATGTGACAGACAGCGGGCACTCAGGCTGCCTGGAAGAGTGAATGAAAGAATGGACCCTCCGGAGGAAGGGCACGGAACGGTCCTGTACATGGAAACCGGATCGCAAGCAGCCCAGCCTGATGACCCACGGTAGCAGGTGTTTTCCATCTCCAGTATCTGTGATTCATTCTGCACAGCTGCCGGCATACAGGGGCGTCCGCGGCTCCTAGAAGACAACGCCCCACACCCTCCCGTGCACGGTGTCCGGGACGCCTGGGCGGCCGCACGCGGAGACACACCTGGGCGGCGACAACCTGGAGGAGCCTCTGGCCCCTTACACGTATTAATGCCCGACCGCCACGAGCAAGCAGCTAGGGCCTGTGCTACGCCCCTTGCTCCCAGCCGCACCTCTCTTCCTAGTTTTCAAGCGGTCTATCGGGGGTGAGTCTGCATGCGTCTGCTCGCTGGTGGACCCCCTCCCTAAGCGCGCGCGCGCACACACACACACACACACACACACACACACACACACACACACGTCTCTTTCAGACTAGGCGCGTCTCCGAGGGTTGGGTTGAATGGGCAAGAACCGGGCCGTCTTTGTCATTAATCCTCCCCTCCTTCGGGCGAGCCCAGCTCCTTCCGGGTCAGCGACAGTCGCCGCCACCCCAGTCGGGCCCGCGGTCCCCCATCCCGCTGGCCCCGCGCGCGCGGACCAGGTCGCCACCGCCCGCAGGTTGCCGGAGGGGAGGAGGGCGAGAAGGGCGGGCGGCGCGCGACAGGGGGAGGGAGAGAGGGAGGGAGGGAGGGGACGGCCATCCGAGGAGGGGGAGGGGGAGGAGGGAGAGGAGGGTGGGGGAGGAGGAGGAGGAGGAGGGACAGGGGAGGAGGGGAAGGAGGCTTGGTGAAGGAGGAGGAGGAGGGGGAGGAGGGGGAAGAGGAGAAGGAGGAGGAGGACTGGGGGCGGAGGGGTGGGGGAGGAGGGGGAGGAGGGAGCAGCCTCCCGCAGCCGGCGCGGAGAATGGGAGTGCGGGGCGCCAGACCGCCGCGGGGTGTCACGGCCGCGGCCGAGCTCGCCAGGCGCGGGGCCGGCGCCCGCCGCTTTTAAACCCGGGAGGGCGCGGCGGCTGCGGCGGGCGGATCGCGGCGCTCGCGGGGCGCCGGGCGGCGGCCGGATGGAGAGGAAGGGCTCGGCGGCCGCGGCCAAGGGGAACCCGAGCCCGCCCGCGGCCGGCGAGGCGCAGCGGCCGCCTCCAATGTGCGCCCCGGGCGGCGGCGGCGGCGGCGGCGGCGGGGTCCCGGCGCGCGGCCAGGCTGGGGCGGCGGCCGAGCCCGCCGAGTTCATCCGGCGGGCGCACGAGTTCAAGAGCCAAGGGGCGCAGTGCTACAAGGACAAGAAATTCCGCGAAGCCATCGGCAAATACCACCGGGCGCTGCTGGAGCTGAAGGGGCTGCTGCCGGCGCCCGGCGAGCAGGAGCGGGACTCGCCCGCGGCCCCCCAGCCCGGCCGCCTCTCGGAGGAGCAGAGCAAGACGGTGGAAGCCATCGAGGTCGACTGCTACAACAGCCTGGCAGGTGAGCCGCGCCGCGCCCGGCCCCGGCCCGCGCCCCCGCCCCGGCCCCCGCCCCCGCCCGCCGCTGCGGAGCGCCCGCCGGCCCCGAGCTGCTCCGGGAAGGAGGCCCGGGAGGGGGGCGCTTCGGGGAAAAGTGACTTTTACGGTGATAGCTCCCCAAACTCGGTCGTCATCCCGCTGTCCCTTCCCCCTCATCCGGCGTAAATCTCACCTAAAAATAACTGGACAGACAGAAGGAGCCCCAGCCGGCCTGGCGCGACTGCCGCTGCTCCTGCTCCCCGGTGAACCTGGGTCCACATGCGGGAAGTAGCGCCCAGGGTGGGCACCCCCACCCGCCGCGTGCCCAGTGGCCGCTCTCCTCCGGGACCACTGGCACCAGAGCTCGCCCTCACCTGGCCCTCCACTGACCGCATCCCAGCGGGTACGGTCCTCCCTTCCCCACGTTCCTTCGGCCTCGGTGGCAAAGGGCAGTTCGCTGCGATGCCTTCAGCATCTTGAGCAAGATGGATTCCAGAACGCCACTTTCTTGTCTCTGAGCCTTGCTGGGGCCCCCGGTTGCCAGGTGAAGAGCGATCTCAAAGGGAACCGAGTTGGTTGGGCTTGAGCTGCGTGCAACATCCTCGCTGGCCCGGTGAAGCCCTGGTCCTCGCCCCCCAGCTGGCTCCCGGGCCTGCGGAGGAAGGGGACCCAATGTGGGGATGAGAAAGTGAGGTGTACATTCCAGAGTTCACTTCGGGGATTTAGGTTAAAGTCAAGCATTTTTTAAAAAATTAACTTTGGCCCAGGAAATGTAAAGTGTCTTAAAAAAAAAGAAAGAAAGAAAGAAAGAAAAAACAGGAAGAGCCTGGTTCTTTCCAGGGCCTTCCTGTGAGAAGGTGGGAGATGTTGGCAGGTGCAGTGGCCTTAGATTTGAAAGGCATTCTGTACTCTTCTCTCACCTCGTTTGGTGGGATTTGGGGGCATGCTCCAGCTCCTCTGGCCCAATAAAAGGCCATTACTCCTAGTGTCCCTAACCCTTGAAGTTGCCTAAACTAGCTCTGGACAGTTGGAGAGGAGTAGCTTCAGGAGAGTGACTGGGTGTGGCCGGGGATGGTGAATGTGTTTTGGGCACAGGAAGTTGGGGGATGAAAAAAAAAAATATCAGTAATTCTGCTCTGTTACCTTTGAGGTTTTTAGTGCCAGCCTGCCTCTCTGTTCCCATAATGCCATGCCCAGTATCATCTTTAATTGGGCAAAACCCATCCACTTTATCAATTGTAGTTTACAAATGTAAGGGATTAATAGACTAGTAGTAGTAGTTGTAAAAATGGTGGTGCCGATAGCAGTGCTAGTAATAACGGCAGTAGATAAAGTAGTAGCATAGCAAAGGGGGACTATCTCAATCCATCATAATGTACAGCTTGATTCTCCTTATTTCCTGTAAGCCTCTGGCAACTTGCTTCTGCCTGATGAATAGTTACAGGGGAGAGTGGCCATGGGTGGAGGAAGAGGCACTCTGGATCACTAATGCGGTGATTTCAGAGTGGTAACGGAGTCTTATATTTAGTACTGTCCATGGGCATTCTAGGGTTGCTTTTCACCCTAGGCTTTTGGCTGTTGGCCTGTGGCTAGCACTGCCTATCTCCTACCCGAGGAGTGGTTACATTTCCATGGTGAAACCAAAGATGTGTCCTTGGTCAGGCAAGCCCAGTCAGGGTGGGGCTAGGATCCAGCCAACTCCTCCACCTCCACCCCCACCCCAGAGGCACTTTGGAAAACTTCTGTGGGGAGAGAATGGAGAGTAGTAGTACATTTCCCCTCTGCTATCTTCTCCAGCACTCTCCCCTTCTTTGTATTAATAATTTGTTGTGAGCAGGGTGCTAGGCACTCTACGTACAATGTACTTTTTCATCTTTAAAACAACTGGCTAAAAGATGGCAAAGAAAAAAAACCCAAAAAAACCCCAAGGTTCCAGAGCCTTTCAATTCCAAAATCAAGGTTCTTGCGCATCACACTTTGAGCACAAAGTCACTGTCTCTAGGCCTCTCTCTCTCTCCCTGAATCCAGTCTCAAGCAGGCTCCAAAGCTCTACACCTGGAAAATTCTGTTTGGAGCTCTGAGCCCTGGTAACCAGGAGAAAGAAATACATTACCTTAGTTCAAAACTCTGATAGGGCTCTTTCTCAATATTTTCAAGTTTCAATGAAAGAGAAAAGAAGAGTAATTACAAGCTGAGCTGTCATGTCAAAGCCAAAATCTGTATCCTGTATGCAAAATTCAGTTGGGAGAAGGGATCCTGGAAGTCACCTGGAGAGGAAGTAGAAGCTTGATGTTGGTTTCCTTTGGGATAATGCAGAAAATCTGTTACTACTGTTTCAGAAATCCTAGCTAATAGAAATAATATCCTTTCTTGTTGGATTACAAAAGTAATACATGCCTTTAAAATGTATTTTCTTTTAGAAAATATCAAAAAGTTTAAGGAAGAAATGCAAAATTACTTTTTCTTTTTTGCAAAATTACTCTTAATCCCACTAAAGATGTATTTCCTCCTTGTATTTTTTTTGTGCATAAATGTAAACTGTTCACAAAGCAAGGACCTCTTGTATCCTACTTTTATTCCCACTTACCATTATATCAGAAGCACTTTTACATCCTATTAAAATATTTTAGTGAAGATTATTTGAAATGGCGACACAAAATTTTTTAAGTGTGTGTTTATGATTATCGTTTGATAGAAAAGGAAGAAAAACTATTATTGTTGTCAGAGCCAGAACAGTGCAGTGTAGTCCCTAAGATACCCTGTTCCCCTGGTGCCTGCTGATAGGAAGGAGACAGCAGCTGCACATTCTTTCTGGCAGAAAGGCAACTGACCCTTCCATCCCGGCTGCAGTGCCAGCTGAGCAGCCCAGCCAGCTCCTGGTGGAAGCAATCTGAAGACGTTTGTGCTCCCAAAGATCTGTCCTTCTGCACAGCTGTCCATAGAGAGAGATGTTTGGGGTTTGGAAGGAACTTGGACTAGTTCAGAAGGAGCCAGGGGATTAGGCTATGCTACTAAGGGCACCTCAGCACCACACAAAAGGCTGTTGTGAGGCTTCTGGAGAAAACCTAGGTCTGGTACTCTTCACCGAAGGCTCCAAATGAATAACAAGGGGGCAGCTAGAATGTGCATCATGCCGAAAGATGTTAGTCTAAAAATCCACTTGGATGACTTGAGAGGCTCACATGAAGGAAGGGTGTGCAGGCAGTTGTCAAAGTGCCCAAAAATCCATTTGGATGACTTGAGAGGCCCACATGAAGGGTGTGCCAAAGTGTCAAAGTATGTGAAATTTGACTTTCTGTTGTGGTCTGTTCTGGCTTGGAGTTCCTCCTGATTAGGAGGGATCTGGCCAGTACTGCAAGACCCCTAGACTTGATTTTACCTGTCTCATTCTTTAAGGAATTAAGACAAGCAAACAAACAAAGATGTGAGGTATTCTATTCTTTCAGAATTTCATATGACTTTGATAGTGATTGTAAAGATATTCTGACCTGCCTGGGGCAATGTAGGACTCTAATCCCTACCAAAGCTGCAAAGGAAGCTTGTATTGCCCTGTTGATAGACTGTTGTTGACCTTGAACAAGACACAGGACTCCCCTGGGGCCCTGGAATGTTTCATGCAGAATCTCTTGAAAGGCAGAGCCTTTTGCTCCACATGGTTTCTATGGGGCTGTGGTAGTCCCAGCTGGTTGTGATCAAAAGGTTGCAACATGTAATGACTTTGTTGGTATTTTCAAATGACAGTCAAGACTCAAATGCCAGGAGTGAAGATAAGTGCCAAGAGGCCGTGGCATGGGATCTGAAGGCTAGATGAGAGTCAGCTTGTGCCTCTATTCTTGGCATACCCTGTGACTTTGGTCAAGACCCTACCACGTCACTTACCCATTTTCCCATCCATTTAGAGCTGTGTTTAAGAGATTTTTGTTGTGGTTGTTTATGTTACCAAAGGGGCAGATAATATCCACTGATCTTATTTGAAGCCCCAGGACAGAGGTATGACAAGGCCTAGAGAGGTCACACTGGGAAAAGGCCTGGAATGGACATGTGTTAAAGCCATGGGACCAGGGCTGGCTATATGATTTGTGGGGCCTGGTGGAAAATGAAAATGTGGAGCTCCTTATTCAAAAAGTGGGGGTGGAAGTGGAATATCATCAAAGGTGTTAGAAGATAAAGCTTTTTTCCTTTCTTTCATGATTTCTCTCTCTCTTGATTTGACATGGTGCTTTTATTTGCTATTTAATGTCATTACAAGAAAATTAAAAATTTAAATTATTGGCAAGAATTTTACTGTTCATCCTCATGTTGCACAATGCTAATTTTAAATGGAAATGTGAAAGTACTTACCTTGTATGTGAAATCACGTAAATTACACAATTCACATTTTGTAGCTTATACAGGCATATGCAGTTTATTCTTACTAAAACAGTGAAAATGCTGACAAAACAAACTCAACTATTTTTATTTCATTTCCTTATATGCATTCTGTCTGCGTGCACTTTCCACCAAGTTTGGCTTTTTAGTGAGGAAGGGAAGGAAAAGAAACTATTCCCTACTTTTACCCTACTCTTTCCTTCCATGTCATCATTTTCAGCATAAGTGGTTGGCTAGTACAGCATGGTAACATAAGTAAGAAAGGATATGATGGGGCTCTAGGTCATTCATGCTTCTTTTTACTTTCCTTCTGTATTTGAAGCAATTTCTAGGTTGAATGGGAAGTCTGCCTCTTGGGGCTGTCAGCATGTCTGCCTACGTAGTTATAGGCCTGACGATCTTATCTAATCCTCAAGCTGGGTCTTGCTGAATTCTCACGCATTGTGGGTCCACCAAAATTTTGTGCTCATGGAGCATCATGAATGCTGTATGCAAGAGGGGCTGCAAAGAAAGGTTGTGCCTGTCTCCTCTGCTCATGTTCATGCTCCATTGTTCCATCGAACTTCACTTACAAAACACTATTCCAAAGATAAAATTGTTAGGAATTTCAAGGGA